TTTTAGTACTTGTATATTGCGTGGAATTTTCCCTTGGATGTAATCTATATCATGAGTTGTAATCACAAATAATTTTAAATTGGTTTATCATAAACTACTTTTAATAAAAGGGACGGTAAATACCCACTTTGTTGTCGAAAAATGCTATTGCGTTACCCTAAATTCCATTGCGTTACCATAAGGTAACTCATTGGACAAAGTTTTGTGAAACCATATTTAAAAAATAATAATAAAACATTACAGTCATTAATTACTCTCAATGAGCTTTAGTGCCCTAAAATAAACCATAAACATGAAAAATAGTATTTTTTCTTACCTTATTTTTATTATTTTTTTGAGTAACTTAGCGAACAAACAATTATTACATTCGCGTTACCCGCACCTGTTTCAACCGATATCTTCTTCCTGATTGAATAAATAGATTCAGCTGGGTAATGTGTACGTCCGAACATCATTTGTTGATCACGTTAGTACCAAAAAAGTTGCCATATATATGTTTTTTTAATATTCTATCGGTAACGCGACGGACGTAACGCAACGGAAAAAATGTCTGGGACATGAGTCAAACTTAAAAAAAGTAGATTAAAATTAATTATTTTATAAATAAATTGTTTACTGCAACACAAAGTTCTGGTTATTCAATATTTAAGAAAAACATGCATGTAAGTTTTATAAAATGCTAATGGGACATGCGAAAATGTTTGTTGTACAATTCGTGTTAAATTGTAATAAATAGTGCAACAAAATTTTCCCTGATTATTCCTTTTTCAATTACTTTTTGAACAAAACAAAAATCCCAAGCCATTCCGAAGTTATCCACTAAATTATGCCCCATTGTTCATCTTGTTGTATTACACGTAAATGTCAAATTAGATAACATTTTCAGTTCATTTAAAGCCGAAAATCCAACAACAAAATTATTAATCAACCCTTGTATTTGGCGTAATTCGCGAAATTTTCCCCCGAAAATTAAAATAAATGAACCCGAAATTATTTCGCGCGCCTCTCGTGAAAGCTATAAATCACTTCGCACTGCGTTGTAGTTTCTTAAATTAGACGTCGAAAGTAAAATAAATTTAACCCAGAGGTGGAAAAAAATACCCAAATTTTTTCTTAAACTTAAAATTCTCGTCACAGTTCTTAATCCAAAGTTTATTTCTCACTTCACCTCCCGTGTGCATGCTAAAAATTCTATTTTTCATAAATAGTTTTCCCAAAAGTCTTGTTCAAAAGTAAAACGACACCCTTTTGTGCTGTTTAACAGTTCCAACATTAAAACAAAAAAGATTACCCTGTAATATATTTATTTGGCTGTTAGGGGAGGATGGGTAGTAAATTTTAAATTATAATTAGGGGTGGGAAATGGCAAATAAATGTGCGATAATGCGATAATGGGATGAGATAATGTGTTGGGGATATTTTAAGTTTTGACATTGCATAACCTTTTTGCCCCTAACATTAAAGATAACGTTTCTATTTTTGTGGAAATATACACTGCACTACATTTTTCCTGATAACTCATAAACAAAAAATAATATTAAAAATCGTGAAACACACATTTTCGCATGTCCCATTAGCGTTTTATAAAACTTACATACATGTTTTTTTTAAATATTGAATAACCAGAACGTTGTGTTGCTTTATAGCAATCCATAACATCCTTAGTTAATACAGTAAACAATTTATATATAAAATAATTAATTTTAATCTACTTATTTTAAATTTGACTCATGTCCCAGACATTTTTTCCGTTGCGTTACGTCCGTCGCGTTACCGATAGAATATTAAAAAAAACATATATATGGCAACTTTTTTGGTACTCACGTGATCAACAAATGATGTTCGGACGTACACATTACCCAGCTAAATTTATTTATTAAATCAGAAAGAAGATATCGGTTGAAACAGGTGCGGGTAACGCGAATGTAATAATTGTTTGTCCGCTAAGTTACTCAAAAAAATAATAAAAATAAGATAAGAAACAATAATATTTTTCATGTTTATGTTTATTTTAGGGCACTAAAGCTCATTGAGAGTAATTAATGACTATAATGTCTTATTATTGTTTTTTAAATATGGTTTTACAAAACTTTGTCCACTGCGTTACCGAGTCCACTATGTTACCTTATGGTAACGCAATAGAATTTTTCGACAACAAAGTGGATATTTACCGTCGCTTTTATTAAAAGTAGTTTATGATTAACCAGTTTAAAATTATTTGTAATTACAACTCATGATATAGATTACATCCAAGGAAAAACTCCACGCAATATAAAAGTACTAAAAGGGACCTTCACCAGCTTATAGTCAAAGAAAAAGGGTGTCTACAATTTAGAAATCTAAGTTGTTATTCTGCAAGTGAGCACCACTACAAGGGATTTTGTTTATGCAGTACTCTAAAATCGTACCACCCTATATAGTTTCTTTTTTACGTTATCTGATTAAGTCCTTTGTGTACCCCTGTCCGTTGTGATACCAATGTCTATTTCGTTACTTTTTTAGTTTTTGTCAAAAAAAATACTTAAAATGATTTTTATACACTATCACTTGGTAATACGTGTTTATAAATTAGAGTTTAATTCACTAATACAGTGACTAAAAGAAAATATTAATGGTATTGTTTTTTTAACAAAGAATCGGAATGGTTTCTTTTAAAAAGTAACATACATATTTAAAAAAAAGCATACAATTTTTAATAAAAAATAAAATGAAAAATTGGAGTCAAAAGTTTGTGAACTAAGTACATTTTATTTCAAATTATTTTTATAACAACTTTTTTTATTGAATTAAATTTTGGATTTCAAATTAGTAACACAGTGGAGATATATAAAGCTAGCTAAACACATTTTCTGAAAAAAACGTAAATAAAAATTTAAAAAGTGCACTGCCTGTCTTAAATGTAAGTAAACAAAACTCTAAACATTTATAAAAATCCAACCAAAAGTCAATTTAAGCAAAAAAATATTTTGATCTTCATTTTCCTGAAAGCGGGTGTTTCTTGAAAATGACCCACCAACAAAATCCCACAAAACACAAAAAAGTTACAGCCCCTTAAAAAATTTACAATCAAGGAAATTACATCGTTTGCAATTTTAGCGATATCTCAAAAAATAACAAGGTTATCAAACCTAGATTTTTTTATTCGTAATCTTCATTAAATTATCTAAAACATGACTTTTACAGTTATAAAATACTTTAAGAAACCACAAAGATACATCCAATTTTATTTGTTGTTAAGTAGAGATTTTTTAAACTTCTGTATATTTTAAACGGCTAAAGTAAAAATTATGCTTTGTATACGAACATATTCCTTATTTATTAAGGATTAATAATTTTCTCACAAGTTTATTTTATCTTTATAACTTTTTCAGAAAATCTTGTTTAACTGTAACCTTAACAACTGAGAGCAATAACCTTCGAGGTACATCAAACACTTTAACCCCCTGTATATTCTTACTGCGTGAAGTAAAAAATAAGTAATTCATACCGTTTTATTTCTTAATAAATGTTGAGTATTTTTTGTTTCTGCAATTTTTTTGTACCCCTTATGGTTTTTATGTAAAATTAATGAACGTAGAATCAAGTGAAGATTTTTTAAAACTGCTGTATATTTTTAAAGGCTGAAGTAAAAATTGTGTTTTATATACCAAAATATTTCCTTTTTAATAAGGATTTAAAATGTCAAAATAATTTTAATTTAATTAATAATAAAAAAGTTATACGTGTAGAAAGTAAGTCGAAGAATAAACACCGCACTACATTTTTCCTTATAACTCATAAACGAAAAATGATAATAAAAATCTGTTTTCATATACTTAAACCTTGTAAAATTAGCTAAAACTTTTATTATTGTATCAACAAAATCGCATGAAAAACAAAAAAGTTACAGAGGCTCAAAAAATTTATCAAATTTGCAATGAAGGAAATGACATCGTTTGACATTTTAACCGATATCTTCAAAACTAACGAAGTTATTAAAATGCGGTTTTCATATTCGTAATCTCCATTAAATTATCCAAAACATCCTTTTTACAGTAATAAAATTCTTTCGGAAACAAAAAAGATACACTCAATTTTATCGAATCCCGACAAATTACCAAACTCAATATCGTATTAGTCAACCACAATTATCCGCAATAAAAGGGGGAACCCCGAAATTTAAAAAATCGTTTCGATTAAAATATAAATTGAATTTCCCTAAGAAATCTTGCAAACTTCACCCCCCTAAAGCCTTCCATACCCGACATAAAAGGTATGGATTTTAAAGGACTTTAGTTAATACTCAAGACTTTCTATTTATACCGATTCCAGTATATTATGGGATTTGCAAATAGACGGAAATTCGCGCCTTCTGAATTTGTTAAGGGGGACAAATACCTTTAAAACTACAAGGGGCGATGTGATTTATTGGAAAAATATACAGAGTGTAATAAAAAGGAGCTTAAATACAGATACCTAATTTGGGGAGGAAAGCGCAGTTTTACATTTATAAAGAAATTGTAAGAAATAAATAATGCATTGTTAAAATGTCAGACTGAAATTGAAATTTGGGATCAAAATTAAAATTTAAACCTAAAAACAAATTTTTATTTTGCTATGAACATAAACATAAGAAGAGTATAGGTGGATTCAGCTACTCTTACCAAATACTGACTTCAAAGAAGATTCAGCCATTTTAGCAAGTTGTCGAGAATTATAAATGATATTAAAACACGTTTTCATTTTTATAAACCTTATAAAATTATATTAAGCTTCAAATTCAATATTAAAAAACCCACTGGTATCAAAAGTGACAGAAGTAACGAACGTCATTTTACATTTCTCCTCGTAACACAAAAAGTAAAAACGATAACAAAATGCGGTTTTCATTGTTTAAAACCTTACAAAATTCTCTAAAACTTTTATTCATACACCATCAAAATCCTCCCATGAACGAAAAAGATACAGGGCGTTGAAAAAATACGAACGACAAAAACATATTCCAAGCTAATCTGACTTACCCCTGGGGTGTTGGCTTGCGGACCGTAAGGATAACGGGTCCAATCAAGGCTCGCCTCGCCTGTAGTATCCAAAAGGACAACTGAAAAATAAAAACATAAAAAATGTTAATTTTTTGACCTAATAAAGTATTACTTAAACTCGAGAGTTGAGTTATTTTACTTTGCATACCAGTCATGGTTTAATGCAGACAAATGCCGACCAACTCTTGGTGTTAAGTGTAATACATATCAATATGTCAAGTCGATATAATCTGAATTATAATATGAATAATAAGTAGCGTTTCTATGAAGCGTTCGTAATTCTTATTTTAATGCTTTCTCTGTATATTGAAACTAGAGGGATTTAAATAATTTGAGTAACACCGTTTTTTCCCTCAATTCATAAGGAATTATTAACTGTAAAATCAAAATTTTTCTTGAATAGGGATTTTTATAAACCCTTGTATATTTTTATGGTTTGATGTTTTGAAAAAATCTTGTTAAATCATTACCTTAACATAAGAGCAGTAACCCTAGAGATACACAAAAACGGTTTAACCCCCTGTATATCCTTACTGCGACACGTAAAAACTAACTATTACATGCCATTTTATTCCTTATTAAATTTAAAATAATTTTTATTTTTGATAATTTTTTCTATCTTTTATACTTTTTCAGTAAAATTAATAAACATGGAATCAACATTTTTTCTTAAGTGACAACTTTTAAACTCCTGTATATTTTTAACGGCTAGAGTAAAAATTATGTTTTATATACAAAAACATCCCCTATTTATTAAGGATTGATAATTTTCTTATAATTTTATTATATATTTATTACTTTTTAAGAAAATCTTGTTAAATCATAACCTTTACAGCTGAGAGCAATAACCCTCGAGGTACATCAAACACTTTAACCCTCTGTATATCCTTAATGCGTGAAGTAAAAAATTGGTATTTCATACCATTTTATTCCTCATTAAATTTAGAATATTTTTTGTTTTGGAAAATTTTTTATACCTTTTATAATTTTTGTGTAAAATTAATAAACGTAGAATCAAAGTTTTTTGTTAAGTAACGATTTTTTTAAATTCCTGTATATTATTAAGGGTTAAAGTAAAAATTATGTTTTATATACAAAAGTATTCCTTAGTTATTAGGGAAAAATATTTTTTCACAATTTTATTATATCTTTATAACTTTTTGAGAAAATCTTGTTAAATCATAACCTTAACAGCTGAGAGCAATAACCCTCGAGGTACATCAAACACTTTAACCCCCTGTATATCCTTACTGCGTGAAGTAAAAAATGGTATTTCACACCATTTTATTCCTCATTAAATTTAGAATATTTTTTATTTTGGCAAATTTTTTGTACCTTTTATACTTTTTGTGTAAAATTAATAAAAGTAGAATCAAAGTTTTTTTTAAGTAACGATTTTTTTAAATTCCTGTATATTTTTAACGGTTAAAGAAAAAGTTATGTTTTGCATACAAAAATATCCCCTAGTTATTAAGGATAAATAATTTTTTTACAATCTTATTATATCTTTATTACTTTTTGAGAAAATATTGTTAAACCATAACCTTAACAGCTGATAGCAATAACCCTCGAGGTACATCAAACACTTTAACCTCCTGTATATCCTTACTGCGTGAAGTAAAAAATTGTTATTTCATACAATTTTATTCCTCATTAAATTTAGAATATTTTTTGTTTTGGCAATTTTTTTGTACCTTTATAGTTTTTGTGTAAAATTAATAAACGTAGAATCAAAGTTTTTTCTTAAGTAACGATTTTTTAAACTCCTCTATATTTTTAACGACTTAAGTAAAAAATATGTTTTATAATCCAAAATATTCCCTATTTATTAAGGATTAATAATTTTTTCACAATTTTATTGTATCTTTATTACTTTTTGAGAAAATCTCGTTAAACCAGAACCTCAACACTATAAGTATTACACATCATTTTAATTCTTATAAAATAAGGAACAAATTGACGTACAAAACAATATATTATACATCTCACAACTTAATATACAGGGTGTGGAAACACAACAATACCATTATACCGAAATCACAACCTTTTATAAATCGTATTTTATCGACTTGTTGACACAATTGACAACAAAAACATACAATTAATAAATGTCAAGAGGTATTAAAGCCGAAAAGGATAATAAATAATGTTCAAAAAAATAATTAAACTTCGTTCGATGGCGTAGATAACCCGAGGAGTGTGGGAGGCTATACACATACGACTGTTGAAAAATGTAAATAAGTTAAAGCCGATCATACACCCAGAAACCCACGAAAATTCTTTGTCCCTTGGTCTAAACTTAACTTTAAAACTCAAACAAAAACTTAAAAGATACAGTTTTTCGTATAGAGAGTTGAACTTAACATCTACTACCTCTTCAGAAACCCTGTATTTTTATAAAGAATGGTTTTAGTGAAAATCAAATAAAACTCTCATAAACCACTTGAATAGATTCCTAAGTAAACCGAGTTTGAAAATGTGCAAATATTTAAAGTAAATTTCAGTCCAAGTTGTTTGATCAACAACAATTGATATCGGTATAATTCCTATTGTAGCGGTTAAATCTACTTTTTTTCGGGGGTTCTTTTTAAAGCAAACAATTTTTAATCCTACACTGACAAAAGGAGGGTAAAAATGCCGTTGAATAAAGTATCCACAATGATTTTATATAAGTAAACAAGACGCACTTTACAGCTCTGAATTTGTCATTTCTGTAGAATTTTTAATAATTATTGTAAAAATAATTTGTTTACGCCAAATTGTTCATAATTTATCAAGGAATAAGCTTTATATTATAAAATTTTAATATCATCTATAGTTTTAATTAAAACCCACAAAAACTAACACCATCACAATCAAAGACATTGGCACTCTCATACAAGCACAGACTTTAACACCCTGTATATACCAAGTCTTTAGGCGTTAAATTCCGCTACAAAGCTCATTTTATTCCTTATTCATTAAAGATTAACATGATATTTTCAAAAAAATTATAACTTTAGTACTTTTTAAGATATCAATAAAAATGTGCGCTTGTTAGAAAGAAGAACAAACACACTTACCGGTTAAGTGATAGTTTGACTCCCTGTATATTTTTATTGCGATTAGTTTTAAGTATGTGTGATACATCATTTTGTTTGTTATTTTATTTGGAATATTTTTTGTTATTACAAAATTTATGTACATTTTCTACTTTTAAAGAAAAACCTCATTAAGAGAGTTTGTTATGTTGAGTAGTTAAATTGCAGTATATTGACGTCCTGTGTATTAATATTGCGATAAGTTGTCAATATGTGTGATATACCAATTGAACCCTTACTTTATGGAGAATAATTTTTGTATTTAAAACATTTTTATACAATTTTTAATTTTAAAGAAAATCTTAAAAAACAGTAATGATTACATTTTTCAATACTTCTAAATGACTCGCTGTATATTTTTAACGGGTTAAGTTATAAGTAAGTATAATACACCATTTTATTCGTAATTTTGTAAGGAATATTTTATTGTTTTCGCAGTTACAAATGAAAATTGTAAACTAAACTTTGAACTTGTCAAATGTATATCTGAATTTTCCATCGGGTAAAGTCGCTGCAAGTTAAGTCAAAAGTGTTCAGAATTCAGTACGAATTTGTCATGGGTTTTGCAACAAATTTCCGTACTAGCATCTATCTCTTCATTCTAATTTCAACAAACAACTTGCCAAACTTTATGAATATAGAATAGGCAAGATATGTTTCTTGTTAGCCTCATCGCCAAGATGCATTAAACTTTTGATATTTTAGTTGTATGTAATTTCAAGAAACATGATTTTGAGCTAATGGCTTTCTAAGAACTTCAAATATAGACTTCATTTTTGTTATCGTGTATATTGTAAACGAGAATATATTTTACACCATTTTGCTCCTTATTTAATGGTGAATAAACTTTGTTCTTAAAAGATATTTTTTCAAATTCACTAAGTAAATTAAACACATCCAAAGCAATGTAGGTGTTACAAAAATTGATTTTATCCTCCGTGAATCTGTTTTTGCTTTAAATTTTATGCAACGGATGGCGCTTTAATCATTTTAAATAAGCAGAAACCTCTGTTTACGACATTATAGATGCATGTGATTCCTGAAGGTCAGTTAGAATTTATATGCAGATGAGAGTGTTGCTGTTTTATAATTCAAAAGTTTAAGTTCATTAATTTGCTATGTAAAAACCTATCCACCGTGAAGTGTAATATCTCAGAAAGTAGATTTTTTTTCATAAATATTTTATGTATGTACTATGCTCCACACCTCAAAGTCCCACCACGTGACCACGTACGGAACGCAGTCTTTTGAAAATTTGGCATTTAGGGCTTTTCAGGTTATGTATCTGTCAAAGTATAGTCAACGAAAGAAATAATATTATGTTTAGGCGTTAAAATGTATAAATCTTTATAAAATTACAATAACAATGGATGGTTTAAGAATTTAAGAATATAAAAACTGCATTTAATGAAATTCTAAAGTGTATAGTGCAAAATAAGTAATATTTTTGTGCATTTGGTTCAAATATCTGGTTTTCTCCATAAAATAATTTTAACTAAACAGCATTTATTAAAAAAATCTAGCTTCTCTATTATGGAATAAGAATATCTGTTTTAAAGGTAGGTTAATATATTATAACAAAAATATCATCTAATTTTGTAATTTTAAGGTTGGAAAAATTTATTTTGACCAAAATAAATAAGTATTGTATAAGTATTGGATTATTTAAAAGACTGTACAATATGGTATTTAAAAATGTGGTAGTTTTTCTTACCCAGCTCAAAGTGTACCTACATAAAGTTTTGTCAATACAAATAGTTAAAAAGCTTCGACTGAACTTGATCTACATCAAAAATTCATTATAACTATAAAATTTTTAATAAATCACATGTCATGGGAGTATTAAATATTTTCACATTGCAAGTTTCTCTAAAAAATGTCTGTTTTCTTATAATCTAACTTAAAGTAGGTATGCCGAGAGGTATGCACAAGTTTTGTCATTAGAAGTATAAAAGCTTCAATTTAATTTGAACCATATT